AACTCGTTATTTATTAATGGATATGCTCTTTCTCGCGGATGGTTAAAACGGTGAAGAACTAGAAGAAAGCGAAACCGTTACTCGTGACAATTACGTTACTGCTGCTGCTAGAACTATCTGAAAAAAGTGGATGACGTGATGGATAAGGAAGCAGCGAGAAAGACTATAGTGAGTACTGTAAATTCCTTACCCTTTCACAGTCGTCCGAACAAAACATACATCCGCAACGTGCCTATCTTGTACAGGTTACTAGATATCGCCACTTATCTATCGGCTAGCATTTAGCACGAGGTGTTCGTTGACGACGATTCGGAGTCGGTAATCGCTGACAGCTGCCGACCTGGTCGGTGACGCGTTTTGCCTGTCGCGTCCGCGCGTTCACCCCTACGACGCGACGACTGCTATATTGTGCCGGTTGTAATGACAACGACCAAACAACTCGTGGGGCGTTATCTAGTGTAAATAGCTGTTCTTACCTGGTTATAACGACGGCACGTCGTCGAACGATCAGAGCAAAGCGTCCACCAACCAAACCAAAGGAACATCTTCATCGAACTGAAACGTCATCAATCCTCACCACTGTCAGAGACGCTGCCGCTGACGTCACGTACAATCACCATAATACAAAAGTAAATTTCTCCACCCGAACGAGAGGAAAACGTCGATATTGTCTGCTTGTCTGCTCGCCCGCTTGTCTGTTTGCTTCCACCCGTCCTTCCGTCGAAACGTGTTAGTCTCGTGTCCGGTGTTTGCCTGTTTATCTGTCTATATGCATAGTTTGACCGATTAGCTATGCAATGGCATATTTACGCTAGGTAACAACCCTGGCTCCATATTCGTATCGTTGCATGTTTTCGTGGACCCATCTTGGGACCATCGCTGGTTCCATCTTACGTTTTGTCCCGTTGTACGAACCCACAGACACCGACAGGCAGACCCGCCGATACGCACACAGCCGTAATCACAGGATACCGCACGTCTATACGATAATCGCTCATTCGCATAACGTCAGTAACATAAACATCTACTGCTTAGCTGTTTGTATTACTACGCCAATTGGATTGGGATGTTGGGCAAGAATGCTTTTTCGTGAGGTTTGTACGGCCAATGGCCGCAGTGGCAGTTCGGATGAATTCGAGCGCGTTTATTATCTAATTATTTGTTTTTTGGCTTTGTCATTATCGTCAACCGTGACGACCGTTACATGCGGTCTGTTTGGCAACTATGGCGGATTTGCTATGCGAAGTTAATTATGAAGTAAGTCGAGGCTGATGGTCCACCATTGCCAAACTGTTCGAAAACGCTTTTCAGGCTTTTTGGGATTTGTTCTCGTTTTTATTGCTCGCACTGCGACCAGAGCTATAGAGAATATATGAGGAACATTTGATTGGTAAATGGACGGTGAATGGTGGAAGCCATTCATTCGTGAGAATCAAATAGTATAAAAACAAGCAGGAGAATATATATAGTATGAGTAACGTTCGCAATTATTCTAAAAAGGTTCTAGGCTCAACAAAGTTATCCCGGACATCTCTGGTGGTGATGTCAGCTTTCCTCCACGTGTAAGCCTTCAAATTTCGCCGCGAATTTGTAATAGTATTTTCTGAAAACCACCTCTTTCGAGAAGTACAATCATTTTGAACACAAAACGTTTTTTATTCGGTTTTGCTATTTATGGACTAATTTGACTGTCCTTTTGATCTATAACTTGATGGTTATTGTCTCAGGGTGTATTTACCGTAGCTTGTTTTTTTTTCTAGCTATATTTAATAGGATTCCTAGGTTTAACGAAATTGTAATAACAATGATCGTTAAAAAAACCTTTTTCTAACGATTTACATGGCGGCGATTATATATATATATATATATATATATATATAATATATGTATGTTGTAGGTAACAAAGCATGACGCAACGTTGGCAGGGCAAACGACATTACAGTCGACGCTTCGTATGAAATCTGCGTGTTTTAAACGATGATACTATATTTCTGCATTTGTTGGAGCGACACAACGTATCTGAGCGATGTCAGATTATTTCGAAATTATTCTCGAGCATGAAGTTAGTTCGAATCAACTAAAGCGTAGATCTGCTATTGGCAGGTGAGGGCGGTAGCGGGTATCGGCCTCGATGACAACCATCGTGTGCTACTTTTTATTTATTGATTATAGTCACTCTGTAACATGAGGAAAATAGAGGGGCAATGTGCTGTTATAGAAGATTAGAATCGCTGTTAGCGCTAGCAGCGTTTTGACAGTTACCCAGCGACGATTGTCGCCATTGAATGACTATAGCACGAGATTAGATCATTAGTAGTAATTTAAAGTTTGTTAAAGTTATAAATTAGTGTTTTGCTTCTTACTACCGTATGGGTTATACTTACTATGCACATTGTCGTAATGCAAGCCCTGTATTAGTGAACTGTTGCATTTTTACGCTTCCACTCACTAGAAAAGTATAGTCAAACACATACCGGTTGCGTTCAATTATTGTTGATTATTGTGAAATCAAGTAAATATTAAGGAATGGGCGGTACCCACTCCGTCATAGACGAGTCAACCCAGAGAATACTAAACAAGAATCGAACGTGTCAAAGAATTGCTTTTGTATTTGCAGGCGTTGATTGCTTGTCAGGAATAGAAACGTATATGCTAATACATAGAATATTGCGTCTCGAATTGTTCTATGCGTACGATCGTTTGACATTTGATACGATCTCGATGAAATGTTCAGTCGAAATAAGCGTCACGAATGGCTTTAAAACTATGGGCGTCTACCAAAGAGCTGCGGCTAGAAATATATTGATTATTTTCGCTGCACATAAAAAAAACTAATAGAGACACGGTGTCGCGTTTGCTTGTTACGCTTTACTGGTCATAATGTCATCGGACGATTTCGAGAATCCCACTTATTTCGTACCTGCGATATAATTATCATCGATACTTCTACAAAAATGTTAACTCTTATAGCAGACGAAAAAATTCGAAGGCGCTGTATCATAATTCGCCAATGTCAACAATCTACGGAAGTTAGCTAATGCTGTTATTTCGCATACGGTGAGATATAGCTAAGAAATACGGTTCTCTTTGTAGTTATGCTTTTTCATGGATACAAGTATATGCTCGTCAAAATTCGCATAGAATGAGTTCTTTAGCTCGATTGCGTGTCTAAATTATGGCTAGCCAATTTCAAAAGGTACTTTTAAATGTACGGTCCTCGTCGGACCCGGTCTTCGTACACGTCGTGGAGCCCGTGTATAGTTATCTTGGGTTAGAGGCAAACAAAGAATATCGAAGATGCTGCCTTCTGCTATCTGATTTCTTTCGAGCTTGAACAAAAGCTCGACAGAGCTTCATTAACAACCTAACATTGCATCAACGTTGTAAAATTAAGCTAAATCGCGTACTCAAACGAACGCTTACCTGCGGGTACCTTTCGCCTTCTTATTTGTTGGTTTCTGCCACGAATATCGGCGGATTACGCTTCCGGTTGCTTTTGCCTCGCCTTCTATCTTCCAAGTCGTGCACTCCTTTGGTCATACCTTAATGAATAGGTCATCTATTCGAATTAGTTTGTGTGGGAGGAAGGCTCGTCTTGTTTCTGCTGTGGGGTGGACTCCGATGGGTTATTTCACATAAGGAGGGATAGTGAGATTTTGTGTATTTTCGTCTTAACACAAACCGTTTCTCCGTTAGAACTCTGGCTGCCGTACGTGGCGTTCCCGCTGAGCTTAACTGAAATAGAACGAAGGGCAACTGTAATATCTAAAACGAAAAAATACGGAAAAAAGGAAGGGAAACATCGAAGTTAGATCTTGTGAACAAAATAATATCCATCAGATTCATTAAAAGGTTGAATGCTGTTCATTTGGCTGTCAGACCTACGCCCTCATTGTTAACGGTGAAGATCACGATATTGCTACATGATATTATCGACGCAAGAGTTTATATATACTGATATAATCTTGCTTGTAGGAAGGTTGCCTATGGTCTAGTAAAATGTACTTGTGTAGGTGAAAAGTTACATTGCATTCAGAAAATTAACGAAAACCAAATGTCAAGATGATAGTTTAATTGTACTCGAATGTTATATCATTTGCTTTTAGCGCTGTGAAAAAATCTTTTCATCACCGTAAGAAATGTTATATGTACCGCATAAATCGCTGGAAAAAAACATCGATGAAAATGAACAATATATTTAAAAGGCAACAATTGAAACCCTTGCAATACTATTGGTAAAATGTCGTCATAATTATTGCGAGCAGGAAACGGTTGTGGGTGGTTTCCATAAGTGTACGCGGAGAAAGATTAGCTTTTGGTTATTTTCATTGTATGAACAAATTCTCCGAATCATTTATTAAATCAAGAACCTGACTTTATTAGAAAGAAGGGTTAGTTAGAGGTGAATCTCGCTAAACTTATTTGACATTTCTCCAGCGTATGACGTGTGAAATGGCATGGTAATCATATGCCATCGTATTTATTTGTAAATTTAAAATAACAGCATCAGCCATCAAAACCAAGGCGACTTTTGTGAGTGAATTATCCGGTTAATTAATTAGTACACACAAAATAGAAACATATGTTGAGGGGTATGGCATTTAGAAGAATATGCCACCTACCAGATTGCCAAAAGATCCTATTCTAACGCTATACCACATTTCTTTGCGGTGCAGCATCATTGAGTACGGTGGTCAATGCTTCCTAACTGTTTGTATATTTAAGCATGTTGTACCTTGTCGAAACTTCTTATTTCAATGATAACTTTAGCCCTTCACCGTATATATATATATATATATAGGCTGATAGATGTATGCACATACTCTTAAATGCGATTGATGTCGATCATCCAACAGGTAATTAGCTCTCTTCCCGAATTTAAATCCCCAAAGCATCTAAAACACCGATATTCTAAGCAAACCAGCTCTCTTCTTTGCTATTTGTGGGCCGTAATATCATATTCATAATGTTATTGCTTTGCACCTTCTATTACGTTTCAGGCGGTTCAGGCTACGCGGAGGGCGCTGTGCTCAACCACGAACCTGCTGATCGAGTAGCTGACCCGTTAACCTGATCCTGGAGACCCATGCCTATCCATACTTCATCTACACAATGACAAATCATCAAATCACCTCAACGTTCAAATCGATCAGCGCTTACTAACAGCGAAAAGAGTCGCTAACTACTAGAACCCAAATCATATAACTATAGAAACGTAACGACGTAATTTTTTCTACTATCAGTGGTTGATATTGAGCTGCTGTCATTGTATTTTTTGTATCCGTTCCAACCAGTTGTAATTTCTCTGAAAGCTGAAAGCAGCATCCGTCCGGTGCAGGAGTACCTAGAACTCTCCGTCTATAAACAGTGTCCTTAGACATTATTGGTGGCATCACAGCCATCGACTGGAAAAACCTGTTCAGTTCCGAACAGAAATTTCTCGGCATCAGCAGAAGCTATGAACCAGAAGAAACCACGAGGCTTCCTCAATGAGGCCGTTTGGCCCAACAGGATCACCGTACGGCAGGATGCGATATCAGACTCATATGCGATCGAAACACGACCGTTTGCCAGGTATTTGACTGGGCTATTTATATATATAATGCATATACTATTATTTTACAGATACTGTTAACTAAGTATGATTGAATAATGCTACATAGTGTCGTCCAAATTGTATCACAAATAATTATTTTAATTAGTCATATTGTTCTTAATGTGCGTTATAGTTTTGCTTCCATACGAAATTTTTTTCTTCATTGATTCTCTCTCATGTTTCCGGACGCGGCTTACCTTAAAAAACGGATCATTTGCATGCATGGATTCTCAGATAAGTTGAAACGTGGCTGATCAAATTGTTTACTGCCATCCGTTCAAACAAAGGAGCCACTGGTGATACAGGGCCATCCACAGATAGTCATTGAAAACAAGTTAATACAATTTTTATATAAATAGTCTGTTAGCCTTAACAGACTATGGGTTTAATTGTGAAGGGGTGACGGCATCACTAATATCATCATCGTCGTCGTGGTGATGCTACAGAAAAAGCTGTACCGGCCGTACGTTTAGATTTTTACGAGCTCACATACAAAAAATTTGTACGCAGTGCATATACACACGAGGTCACCCTTTTCTAGCAGCCATGATGACGTCTCTAGGAAGAAAAAAAAAAACACCCAATTTCGCTCTCGTTTGCAGTTTTATGCACAATCGTCCTAGCCTTCAAATTCTCTGCATCTTAGAAGACTTCTTAATGGAATTTTTGTTGCAAAGGACAGTGGCGCAACGCAGAGATATCGCGGTTATCATATTCAAAAATATTATCGATAACGGCCAATTTCTGTCGCTATTTTTTACTTTTCTGGTAGAATAAGAAAAAGTACACATCGACAACAATAACAACAGCAGACGTCCAGAAACGACACACGACGACGACGACGACGAGAACAACAGCAACAACAACAATAGCATTAATCGGATCCACTGCGAACTACGCCTATTTTCCTTTTTGCCTTCTATCAGCAGCGGATGCCACTGTCTTAGTAGGTGTCTTCGTCGCCCAACACATTATCATGTTTTATTGATTTCTATTTATGTTTACGGGCGATTTTGGTTACGTCGCACACCCCGAGCTGCTGCTGCTGTTGCTGTTCCTGCTTGCCTAGTCAATGACAGCAGCCATCGGTGGTCAGGCCGGGGGTGTAGCAGACGCCGATTCTGGCTGTGAACGATCTGATCGATTCCACTGATCAGCGGGGTCAAATTTAGTTCGGCTCAGGGCAGGCACGCAAATATTCAGGAGGTCAAATCGTTTGAATAACAAACATATTATTACTTAACTGGAATGAGTTGCCATAAGCCAGATCCTTTTGCTCAGCTTAATGTCCCTAGTGTGCTTGTGTGTACCTTCACCTGTTTGGTTTCGCTCTGGAAAGAAAAATGATTATGGCGGTTTCGTAGCGCGGTGTTGCATCTGAATCTACTGCCATACGCTTGAACGGAAAAATATGCAAGCGGACACACATGTAGGTACATGCCGGTCGCACTGAGAGGGTACGTTTGGTGGACCGACTCAGGCTCCTTATACGAATACCTATGATGCTGCCATACAAATCGCAAGTTGTCAATAACACTCAAAGGAAAATCATCGCCAGTCAACGTATCAATAATGCTATTGTAACTCTGATCAAAGCAGTTTCAGTGACTGAAGGAGGAAGATGTAGCCACAAAGGGTAATCGCAGGCAACGCGCTGCACCTGGATCCTCGTATAAACATGCAGGCGTACCACATAATCGACCGGATAATAATGAAAGTACAAGGCATAGACAGATAATTAACGCGGCGGCAACTACTATTATTATTTATAATTAGAGTGGCATATTCGTCATCTACGTATATTTTGTGACCGTTACATGCCGAGTTTACAAAACTGTCGCTCGTATTCACTGCTTTCTAAGGTTCACCACCATTAAACTATTTACTGGCTACTATATAGGTTAGTTGCGTGTCCGCGGCTGGCCGTCATCAATTATTCACCAACTGAATAATTGATGACGGTCGTGAATGCTCGTCACAACTGAATCTATTTCTTGGTCTCGAACCATGTACCAAGAAAAATTTTAACAAGAATTTAACAAATTTGGCGTCCTTTTCGTTGTCAGTACGACCAAGTTATGTCCGTCATCAAGACAGAAATGAACAGTGGTTTGTAAGTGGTCAACAATGCAACAAACACTCGATGGTCACCATTGAAACAATCGATAAACTTAACTCAGTGGCTCCGATACAGGCATCTCCCGCAGAGGCCGAGTCGATTAGCACGCTGTCAACATATTCGAAGAATTGAACCGAAGGAGGTAAAGATGGACGAGGTGACGCGCATCGTGACCTCCCGCTAGGTATTTTCTATACATTAGGCACCATCTTAGTATGTGCGTTCGATCGTTCCCTTTCTATCCAACTAGTAGAAAAATCACCTTTAAATATTGATTCTAGGCAGTAGCCCACTGTATTGTTGTGTATAGTCGATGTGATTGTACTCGTTAATCGCTTGCTAAATTTCCCATCGATTTCGACCCAAACCACCCGATAAAAACCTGACTCGCATTATTTTGTGGGTATTGGCATGATTTTAATTGTTGAACGCGTATACATATATAGGCAGACCCCTGACAAGTTTGGTTGCGGTCTCAACGCGTGTCGAAGAACTTTTAAACGAATATAAATGAGTATAGTCAATGAAATGAAGATAGTGGCGAAACGATGTTGTTGTATGGAAGTGAACAGCTGAAACTACTGAAGTGATGAGGTCCATGGTCATCCAACGGGCGAGAGAAAGAGACCTCCTGCTCTGAAAAACAGAGAGATTATTAAACAATGGGCCGATCGAAGCGTTATGCTAGGTTCCGATCGTTCTTTTAAAAAGTATAGTGGATAGCATCTGTCTGGAACGTTCTGAAATGTGACGGGTAATGCCATCAATAGAACATCAGTGCACCCCTAATCAGATATTGAAATCCGATAATCGTATAATTGTTACCTTGATACCAACTCCTAATTGAATGTTGCTAACTGTTTCAACAATAATCGTACCCTAGCGGCAGTAACAAAGCAGAAGCTTTGCTGAATTCAAATTTCCGCATTGACAACTAATTACCCCTGAATTGTTTCTACATATATATACACTCAACTACAGTAAAAAAATTACTGAAATTTTTACTACAGTAAAAAGCACTGAAAATTTATTATGCGATACACTTTATTCAGTACCTAAGTTTTTCTTCAGTAAAGTGATAAATAATACACGACGCATCGCATTACTTAATAACAACTTTGGCAGTACGTCGACTGTGACTAACTACTAATCACGGGAGATCGATCTGCATTGATAGCTCGCTAACGAGAAACACATTGTCGTTGTCCACATTTACATCCTTCCCTGTCTAGGGGTTAGGTCGCGTGTACTTTATATCGAGAAAAAGAATGATAATAAACAGGTCAAGATAATCGATTAATTTGGAAATGCCGACTTATAGCAAACGACGCAAATGAGGGGAACGCGTCGTTTCGATGGCGACGCTTCGCGTGTTTTTTGCTCGTTGGCTTGTTGCGACCATAGGTTGTTGTCCGGCCCTAGTGGACCTTTCGAATCGGCACTTAGTTTTACCAGTCGGCAACCGTTCTGCTAGTGGAGATTAATGCAGCGAGGGGCGCTGTACAGATACGTGAGTTATTAGTTAGTTATGGGCGTAGTCTGCGCCTTTGATAGACGCTCAAACCGACGAAATTAATTAGCTGTTAATTACTTAATTAGTAATTAGTTAATTAGCTGTAAAAACAAAACATGCTAATACAATTTGAGGTATAATATGAACATGATTGTGGTTACAACAGTTTTCTTGATAGGGTCATTACAATGGGTCATGTTTGAGTCCTTTATCCCCTTCGGTGAAGGTGTTAGAAACTTGAATTTAGTTTATCGGTAGAAATGAAGGATCCACTTTAGACTTTGTTATAACAATTGCTGTGGTGTTTGATGGTGTTCAGGGAGTCTATGGGCTAATGCCTGATACAGACCAGGTTTAACTGACTTCACAGTTTCGTCTGACAATGTGGAGATTTTACCCACTATGTATGAACGTTGCTTAGCAACTAATACAAGCATACTTTAAATCAGAGCTGGCAAAGAGGACTAGTGGTACTTCCATGTCCTAATCCCTCGTTTCAATGACAATTCAAGTTGCCGATGTCACGATAGCTCGATAATGCTAACTGATAATACGTGGCACCGGTTTTCTTTTGACTTATATAATTTTCAACAATGCACTGTAATTAATTGAAATGGAAAAAAGAAGTCTAACCTTAAGTTGTGCTCTTAAGTGCCTATGATGTTATGGCATCAGTCCTTAGACGCCAATAACCTGCGCGTGGCCTCTTCAAACATTTGCTTAATTCTCTTGCTGAATCGGTAAAAATGTCACGTCCAATCATGAACTCAACTGTCATTGTAGGTGAAAAAAAAAAAAAAAAACGATAATAGCAACAAAACGTAGAATGTTAGTATTACATTAGTGAAGTACGTTTTTTAGATTACATATTTAATATCTAGGAAATAATATAGGAAACTGGCACTGATCAGCCAGGAAGCGATTATAGGCCCTTCGTATTCTAATTGTTGTCTAGAGAGACCAACATTATTGTTTATATGCTATTTATTGTGTTGCCTGTTTCAGGCTTACTTCAAGCTTCCAACAACGAAATGACTTGTTCCCTTATCAACTAATTATTTTGACGATTTGATATAGCCTCGCAATGTCGAGTTCTTAAATAGTTCTTACTTCACAGTTCTTAAATAATGTAGGTCACCTACTTTTCGTTTACAATCGAATAGCATTGAAATGTTCGTAGCGATCTCGACCGGAGTGCACGATGGCGAAGCTTCTAGAGGCTATGTGCCCGTCGCGTGCATTTCGCAAGAATGTTCACATCTCGTTCCTTTTATAAATGTGCAACTATGCTCAGTTCTCAGATATTTTGCGGTCGACTTACCCATTATTCATTTTATTATAATTTT